AGAATTATTATTATTGTTATTATTATTATACACATCAGGTAGATAACTATCCGAGTCTATTTGAAATTGTAATTAACAACAACTATAATAGCAATAGAGTATCGTTTCCAGAAAATTAGGTGAGAAAGTCGTTGTAATATTCCGACTGTACATCTACTGTTCTTGAAACAGCTCTTAGACCCTGAGTGGATTGCAATAGTGTTTTTTTTTTTCTTTTTTATTACGTTGTAAGTAACTCAATAAGTTAATTACGGTTTATTATTTTTTCATAAAATACTTTGTGCTCTTGTAAAACAGAACAAACTGCGACTTAATGATGTACATCCATAATAACAATTGAATTACAGAAATTACACAATAATATTGTTTATTTTTTTTTTATTTTTTTTTTTTTTGCATAGCCCCTTTTTATTTATTTTTGTCTTGAATCCTTGAAATTTCATTGTCTTCATAATAGTCCTTTTACTACTAAAAAGCATTGTAAGGTGTACTTTGATTTGTTGTCGTTTCTGAGTATTTATTCTTCATCTGTAATATAAAAGGTGATGGGGCTCACCTCAGGCTTGAGTGACTAACTTAATAAAACATCTATCTTATGTGAGTTGTTGCTAACGTTTTGGAATTTTGGCTGGTAATAAGTTGTTGAAAAAAGGGCTTGCCAATTGTTGAGACTTTTTGGAAAATGATTTTTTTTCGTTTAGTGAGTAATTCGCTTTTGATCGAGTCTGGCACCCAGGACTGCTTTACAAACTCCGTAAATTCCTACACCCTACATACTTCCTCATTATCCGTTCCTATCTAACTGATAGATCCTTCAAAGTAAATCATAATAATGCCTATTCATCCCTTTTTTCCCAGTCCGCTGGTGTTCCTCAAGGTAGTATCCTAGGCCCTATCCTTTACACAGTTTATACAGCTGATATCCCAACCCATCCTAACACTGTTATTACCACGTATGCCGATGATACATGTGTCCTATCAATTAATAACGACCCAACAATTGCATCCCAAACCCTTCAATCACACATCACAAACCTTGAAGAATGGTTTCAAAACTGGAGGATCAAAATAAATTCCAATAAATCCCATCAAATCACGTTTACCCTTCGTCGTAAACCTATGTCCTCTTGTCCTACAGTATCCTTTAATAATACCCCACTTATCCCTGTTGAACAAATTCGATACCTTGGACTCCACTTAGACAGACGTCTAGCTTGGAATCCTCATACCAGACTGAAACGACAAGAAACAGCTCGACGTTTCCGACTACTCCAGCACTTACTAGACAAACGCTCTAAGCTCCCAGTCAATTACAAAAGACTCATATACATGACTACAATAAGACCTATTTGGACTTACGGAATTGAGCTCTGGGGCTCCACTAAGCCATCGAATTCCTCTCGCATCCAATCCTTACAATCCAAAATCCTTCGTAAAATCCTCACAGCTCCTTACTTTGTCACAAACAAAATCATCCATAACGACCTTAATGTTCCTTATGTTTCTGACCTGGCCCAATCCAGATACCTTTCCTTCCATAATAAACTTCAGAACCATCCTAACCCTCTCGTTTCTAACCTTGCTTCCTTTTCGATACCTGACAACCCTCCGAGGCGTCTGAAAAGAAGATGGCCTCGAGATCTCCTTTTGTAAATACATTTTTAGAGTGCTACCAGTGGGTAGTTTCTCACCAAATGATTTCATGTTATTATATTCTATTGTACACATTTACTGAATGTATTTTTACTTGTAATACAGTTGTAAATATCATTAATAAATAAATTAATTAATTAAGTGAGTAATTCTGTTACTTTAGATAAATTTATCAAAATGAACATAAAATTTAATGAATACTTGTTAAAACATTTGTACGATAACTTTATTGATGAGCGATGGGGGATAGGACTTTATCCCTCGCTATCAGTTCCAATATAAAAGGTTATTATTCATTTACCATATTGAAGAGAGGCTATCCATTTATTACCAACCGAGTTTCCTGATATAAGGAAAGTTTAAGGACCTTCAAGTTTTCCCAAGTTGTTGTGAGAGTTAGTGCCACAGTTGGGGGGAGGAGGCAGAACAGAAGGAGGGGGTTGTAAAAGAATGGAACTTCCCTAGCACCAGCTTGGCCATCTCAAGGCAATCTGCCATCTTCTTATCTAATTAATTATCCTTATATATTATAATCTTAAATTGGTAAACTTTAAATTAAAATGATACCTATAATATTACTCTGTTCTAGTTTAAAAAATAGAATAAAGAAGGTTGATATGAAGTCTACAGACAACTCAAATTACGTTTCTTACATTTTTCAAACCATCAAACAAGAAAATAAGACAATTGCATACAAATATTACAAGGTTACATATAAATACTTACGTAAATCCATATAGATATACTCCTCGCAGAAATAATTACAATGTATGTAATAATATTTACAATGTATGTTTACATATATACCTTCCCATGCAGTGAGAGATTAGAGGCTTCTCAACGAAACTATCTTAACCTTAAGGGAGGAGTTGCTGGGATTTGTTCTTCCGTTAGTTCCTGTTCCATCCTGAGGAAGGCACCGCCCGTTTCCTTTAGTTGGCCTCTGCTTTTCTTCCTGTCCAGGCTAATCCATTCTGCAGCTCGTCTTGTCCAAATGTCCTCGGTTTTCCTCATCAGATGATCTTCCTAGGACTATTTCCTTTTTCTGTCATAACTGATGGCGTCCGAAATCATGGTTAGCTTTCTTAGTCGATCCCAACCAACTTTTTATCTTGCAGAGTTCCCTAGCATGGTTCTTTTCATTCTACGTTGACAGACATTTATCTTTCTCATTTAAGGTTAAGCTAAAAAAAAAATACCCACTTACAAAAATAATCAAAATCATAAACGACTCACAACAAAAGTTACATCGTGCGAGACTAACTAAACTTTACGTACTGACTTCCACATTCCAACAGCTGATCAACATATAACGGCTTTTTGCCGATAATTTTATGCAAATTTAAAAGGTCATGAGAAACTTGGGATATCCCTCAATATGAGAAGGCACTGGATGAGAAGCCTCCTTCCTTAACAAACCATGTTAATTGAATTAGGTGAAGCCATGTTACAGAGGCGGAAAGAAAAAAATAGTGTCTAAAACCAAACGATAACGAGTTTTATTGAAAACATGGATTAAAATATCTCAGAAACTAAAAATCTGACCTGCATATTGTAAGTAAGCACATTGTTCAGCATTTCATATTTTTTATAATGAGCTATTATTCAAAATTTTATCTTAACGGGACGCTGTGTTAGGGGGCGATATGAAAAAAAAATGAAAGGAAAAAAAAGGTATCGAAAACCAAATGATAACGAGTTTTATTAAAGGCATGGATTAAAATATCTCAGACACTAAAAATCGAATCTGCATACTGAAAGCGAAGGAAATGTTTAGAATTCCATACCTTTAATAATGAGCTATTATTTATAATTTATATTTCATATCATTAATCTCGCCTTGTTCATATTTTCACTTCTATCGTATCGTCTAAAGCTCACACTTTAGTTTTTCATTTATTAATTTGTTCTACTTTTATTTGTATATTTTATTAGCACATTTTTGTATTTTTATGTTTCAAGTAGGATTTTTTGTTCTCCTTTATCCCTGCTACTCTGCTGTTTCATATAACCTTTTTCCTGTGTTTCCTTCAGTATGTATTAGGATGTATGTACAATAGTAATTGTTTTTCTCTCTCTCTTTCTTTGTGTTTGCAAATATGTGATGTTGTTCTTTCTGCCCTGACGATACCTGGACAGGTAAAACGTCGGAAAGTCAACTGTCCACTTTATGTTGAATACTCATGGTTTTACAGTTTGTATTATTGCTTTCATAATGGCTCTCTTCCATTTATTTGTTGCTTATTTTAGCAGTACAATCTTTAAGTGAGGCAGAATCTATATTTATCTATATGCCTTAAAAAGTACGATGGTATAAATAATTAGATATAATATGCAATAATATGTATGATGATGATGAAGCAATCAAATAGTTAAAAACGGTAATATTAAGTTAAAATAAAATATTAAGAAATAACAACATGGAATGAACAAAATTAATCACTACGACCACAGAATAAAATTTATCATTGAAATCCTTTCTCATGACAAATCTATTTGAACGAAAATGGAAAATAGGATTTAGCTAATATTGGATTTCTACTCCTAAAATAATATTTTAAAAAATTCAAGTTAATAAATACTGAGTAAGCTGTCTTAATGAAGAAGTACATTATCCTCCTTTGGATAGTATAAAACGGCTAATTACCAATAACAGGCTTAGGTATAAAAGTGACGAGGTGATTCTTTCAGGCCTGCTCGCTCGTCAATGTTAATTATCTCGTCATTGATAATTACCGTTAATTAGTTACCGAGCGGCTCGCTCGCGCTCGCGAGATATCGAGCGGTTCGAGAAGTGAATCATTGATAGAGCTGATTGGGCGCCTGTTGACTGAGGAAGAGGGAGGGGGAAGTAGGTAATTAATTCATACTTTGAATATGCTGCCTGAGTTAATTAGCTCTCGGGAGCTGCTTGACCGTTGTTTATCCGATCAGTCTGAGTCAATAGCGCTCGTTCTCGGCCTCTCTCTTTGAAAACGGGGCAGGCTTCATTAGGCTCTGAAAGAAGGGAGGGGGGGGGGGCTTCTCTCTCGGGCTTGGTTAGCGGATAATTGAGCTTGTGTCCAAGTTAGCATTCATTACATTTAGCCGTTCTTTGTATCCGCGATCCCGGATAATCCAAAGGAAGCTTAGTATTAAATTGAAATATTCTAAAAATATAATAAGTTTTTTTAAACTCAACAATCATTTCATCGATGGAATCTACCAGCAATGTATGTTGAAATTAGAGATGTCCTGTTTGATTCATGCTGTGGCGGCTATTGTATTCTAAGAAAATAAAACATATTGAAAAAAATAATTTATACAGAAGATAGATTTAAAAAATATAGCTTGCACCACCTTGAAAAATGGTAAATTTGATGGAGGTCCTTGCTGTGGATGTACGGCTCTTTTACGATGATTTTAACGTGGAGGAAAAAATAATGCTCCTTACATGTCCTGTTGAGGTGCCACAGGTGTGACATAAAAAGAGGCTGCTCCTGCGGAAAATAAGATGTAGAGTAATTTAATGATAAAAATAAAATAAATTAGACCAGTGATTTGTTGTGTCTACGATTTTTAATTTCATTTGCCTATGTATGATATTCCTACTAGTTAAATATTTTAACGGTAGAATAATTTTATTTGATGTTACCTTGATGTTTTACGCCTATAACATTAAAACACCCAACCTATGTAATCAAAACACTTATTTTTACTCAAAGTAGAGTGGTAAGTGAAGGTTCTGTTATGAGCGCAACGTGCCAGACTTACTTTTGTAAGTACGAACTAGTATCTTGGACGTTAGACTAGCGAAATGTAGACAATCCTGGACACAGTAACAAACACTTATCAATAACATAAGTTTCATTTTTAAAATATTTAACCGAAATTCTTCAACAACAAACATTTGTTCGTGGTCGAGTGTTGTTTCGTATAATTTAGGTAAATAGTAATGTATTTGCGTTTTAAATTTTATATTTTGTTATTTGGTGTTGTATGTTTTAATAAGTGTTGGACATTTTGTTTTATATTGTTTCATTTTTATTTTCTATATTTTTACTCGAATATTTTTTAGAGCTGGACTCTGTTGCAACTCCTTCTACAGAGGCTTTGTCGTGAAACTTTCAATAATGTTTTATTGCGATTAGTATTATCACGTGATGATATTAGATGGCTTATTAGGAAGGTTAAAGATCAAAAGGATTTATTTTATTAATAAATCTTCCATCTGTTTTTCACATCTGAATATTTTAGCAATATGAAATCATTTAAATGTTTATTCAAACCAATATAGACTTACACCTCTCAGATACATGGTATAACTAAAAAGACACACTTACATAAACTTCTAGATTCCCAATCAAAAATATTACGACTATATGGACGAGAGAGCGTCACGTATATTAAACATAAATTAATTACATCGAACTCTTTCCTTCCCATCGAATGTTTTATATTACTTTATAATTAATTAATAGATTACAAATCTTACGGCAAGTAAGAAATCTCAAACTATTAGCGGATTTTTTTTTGGAGATCTCTGAGATCATTTATGATTTTATTGGTAATTCTGGGAAGAGAAGGCCTCATGAAGAAAGAAGGTACTTTTTTTTAAGAAAGTATATGAGATCATGATTGACCAATTAAATTTTAATACTTTTAAACAATTTTTTGGTCCTGTCAACTTATTGTTGACAATCTGCAAATGGGCTGGCGATACAGGAAATAATTACATGATAGGCATGGAAGGAAGGAAAATACTCAGCAGTACATCTACCCTAACTTGTTCCAATTACTTAGGTCGTTTAAGGAAGATCTTTTTGGTGTCTGAATTATTATATTGCATTAAAAGTCAAAATAAATCTATATTCCTTCCTATACATGAAAACTATCACAGTTTCATAAAAATAAATAAAACATGACAAATATGATGTACATTTAATTTCTGTCGCTTGTTGTCTTGACGTATCCATCTTCAGATTATTCCAGTCGATTCTGTGAGGTGATAACTTCAGGTTATATGACGCGAAATAAGAAATAAACCTATACATCAATATAATAATTATATTTCTTACCCGACATTTTATTATATTAATGAAATGTTACTTAGTGACTTCTTGTACTATGTCAGGTTATAGTCCGTGGTACAGAGCCCTTTTTATCAAATTATTAACATCCGCCTGAAACTCCGTAAATAGCTTCATCTCATCGTAACCTACAACTATTTTATTACGAAAATTTTTAGAATTGGGATGTTATCAATCTGGAGAGGGGTAAACATTGTCTATTTAATTAGGTAATAAAAACGCGTAAATACCTATTTGCTTGCCACTTGGATCATAAGATAATTTGATCACAAAATGTATAAAAAAGGTGGCGTACAAAAATATTGTGTCGTTTGTTCTATATAACCTTTTCCTTTTGAGAATTTGGAGGTATAGGTCACGCTGAATAGCTCAGTTTTTTTTAAGGCCATCTTTTTTCCTGGTTTTGTGTTCAAATTATTTTACGATTTAGGGAGAAAGCAAATGGATATTTACGAGTTTTTAATACCTAACTCAATAGACAAGGTTTGCCTCGCACCCTTACAGATGGAAAACGCACTGGTTCCGAGAATTTTTGTAAATGAAATATTTGTAGATTACGATGAGATAAAGCTATTTACTAAGTTTCAGGCGCATGTTAATAATTTGATTAACCACGGATTGTTATAATTGGAAACATTTCAACCATATCTCTTTGTATCTCTCAAGGAAAGAGAAATGCATGGAAAGGATAAAGTGAGCCGTCAAGACATCGCCAATTGAGGCGTCGTCAGGACAGAAGAGAAAATTAACCCAACATCACTGGATGACATCCTACCCATCCTACTCATTGTATTTTATATTATAACCTAAGGTACTGCTTCACTAGCAGGCCGGGTCGAAACCTCACTTCTTATCTATCTTATCTAACGTCACATCACAGAACCTCCCTCTTATTATCCTGCCAAACCTTTCAGTTATAACATTGTTTATTTTTCAGTTATTCACTTATTAAATTCTTTATTTTTGGCCCGTTTGTGTTTATTTTTCATTTTTTTTTTTTTAGTTTATTTTCGTCAAATTATGAATCTTGTTACATTCTGAGAATTTTCGTGGCGGTGGGTTCACAGAGAAGAGGACCCGTTCCTCGCTATTTTAAATAGCATAAAATTATTTTGCCTTCCAAAATAAATAACACAGAGTGAAAATAAATTCTACATATGTCTTTGATATTTTTTCTTTTATATCTACATATGTTCTTTAAGTGTTTTTTTTTTATTATTTCATTTTCATCTTTTATATGCACATAACTTCTTTAAGTTTTTTTATTATTTCATTAATATATGCGTCGTAAAATAAAAGTATTATTTTTGTTATTACATTTGTTTTTGTTTCTTTTTACACTTACAAGAATACGAATATAAAGGGGACCCTACAAGGTTAATCGGAATTGCACTAATGACGTTCCGAATTGTCGTGTAAGGTAGTGAATGAAGTACTGATGGTGGTGGTTTCTGAACATCCGGAAATCAAAGGTTCATTCACGAGAAGTGGAGGGAGGGCTGAGGTAAAAGTAGTGGGGAGACTAACCATACTGCTGGATAGGTTAGGTTACCTAGGCCTCACAACCATTATAAATTTCTCATTTTCATTATATGTAAATAGTTAAATAATTTTTAATGTCCCTTGTTTATAATTTTAAGCCATCTTCAACTATTTCTTTTAAATAGTCAAGTGGGCAACAAATTAAAAAAAAAAGAAGCGAAAACTTCACAATTTACTTTAAGAAAAAAAAAATCTTTAACTGTTGTATTTATTTGTCATTAATTTTTCCATTTTTCTTAACAAATTGATTATTTTCGCAATACTTTTCATAGATTTTTGTATGTAGTTGACTTATATTTTGGACCAACTTTGGTCTAAACGATTTTCAAGCACTAGAAAGTAATTATTATATCTCCGTTTTTCTTTTGATGCCCAATATTATAAATGACAATGTCCAAATAAGCATATCTATGCTGTTTCTTTGTTTGCAACTGAGCTAAATTGGTATCAGCAACGATAAGTAATGATCAGTAATGATTGAACGTGTAAGGTTCTTCATGATCAAAGCGATCCCGGGCAATCTTGGCACTTCTTGTGACGTTCATTCATGAATTACCGTGTAGGGTCTGCTTTATCACTACCTTATCGGGATTATCAGTGTTGAGGTTATAAAAATTGGCAGATAGCAGTCAGTGCCGGCCTCCTAGTGAAGAAGTATCTAACCTAACACTGAATTTCTGTCTCTCGATGAGTTTTCACTAGTTCACATAAACCTATTGCTGATTTTTTTTTTCATCCTACCTATCCATTTCTGGCGCCCGGGTGACCTGTTGTTGAGCCGGATCACCTACAACTACATGTTACCTGTTGTTGAGCCGGATCACCTACAACTACATGTTACCTGTTACCTTTATCGTTACCTGCCCCCAGGTGAAGGTGATGCTGAAGGTGGGGGAGCAGGAGCCGGACTCGCCGCTGACGGTGGACGCGCGGAGGAGGCAGGTGACCCTGACCGACCCCGCGGCCGCCTCCACCACCGCTCCCGAGGACCGCAGGCTGGCCGTCGCCGCGCCCAAGATGTTCGCCTTCGACGCCATCTTCACCCAGCAAGATCCCAGGGTGAGTTCCGATATATTACATTATATTATATATTATATTATATATTATATTATATTACATTATATATTATATTATATATTACATTATATATTACATTATATATACCACGTATAATATTATACAGTGCCATCATCAACAACTTGAGTAATCAACAGGCAATATAATCCATTCACACTACTACCTTCTGCCAGCATCGAAATGTGTACCAACAATTGCGCAAAATTGAAAACACGTATGATGTACTAGGTTAGTGTTTAAAACAAAATCTATAGAGGACCCTACACGGTCAATCGGAATTGCACTAATGACGTTCCGAATCATCGTGTAAGGTAGTGAATGAAGTACTGATGGTGGTGCGCTGCGGATTTCCGAACATCCGGAAACCAAAGGTTCATTCACGAGAAGTGGAGGGGGGACTCAGGTAAAAGTAGTGGGGAGACTAACCATACTGCTGGATAGCTTAGGTTACCTAGGCCTCACAACCTTTATAAATTTTTGATTTTCATTAAGAGTAAATAGTTAAATAATTTTTCATATTTCTTGTTTATATTTTGTAAACCATCTTCAACTATTTCTTTTAAATAGTCAAGTGGGCAACAAAGTAAAATAAAAAAAAATTGAGGAAACTTCACAATTTACTTTAGGAAAAAAAAAATTTAACGTTGTGTATATTTATCAGTTCTTTTCCCATTTTCCTCAACAAATTTATTATTTTCGCAATACCTTTCCTTAATTTTTGTAAGTAGTAGACTTATATTTTACTAACTTTTGTCAAAACGATTTTCTATGAGACTAACCTTACTACTAGATAGGTTAGTTTACCTAGGTCTCGTTATTAAGTAAATAATTTCATAAAAGTAAATAGTTGTTTATATCCCTAGTCTATATTATTATTAACCATTTTCAACTATTTTTTCTTTAAATAGTCAAGTAGGCAATAAATTGGAGAGAAAAAAAAGTGGAAACTTCACATAAATAATGATCAGTAATGATTGAACGTGTAGGGGTCTTCATGATCAAAGCGATAGCGGGCAATCTTGGCACTTCTTGTGACGTTCATTCATGAATTACCGTGTAGGGTCTGCTTTAAACACTCAAGTTTTTTTTTTTTACTTTCCTACCTTTACTAGGTAATGAAAGTATTGCAATCGGGTCAAATTTTCTACAAGCGGCTTACGACGGATCACAGCTATTTAATTTCCAATGTAAGATTACGATTTCATATCGTGGTGTCAGAAAGGGGTGAACGAAAGAATAAAGATGACTGAGTGAAAGTAAGAAAATCTGTTGCCAGCATCACACAATCTTCATCTTCATTATTTCCTCTACTTTTAACAGAAATTATTGTTTGATAATACTAAGCTATGGCAAAAAGTTTTTGAACATCAATATTATGAAGTATTGAAATTTGTACACTGATCTACCTTAAGCCGTTGTTTACATTGCTTTAGTTTATCAAATAAATCGTACTCAAATCTTATGTCTGATCAATTTTTGGGAAAATCTATCTAGTTCAATTATTTTTGTTTCTTCATGAACATATGTAAAGATATAAAAACTTTTCTGAAATAGTTAGGAAAGTCGTGTGAGTGGACACACCACATTTTTTTTTTTTTTCGTTTTGCTTTATACATCATGTAAATTTTCGATCGCGCGACGCAGTCTTCTTGCAGATGTATTTTATTTTCGAGAGCACAGATATCCCGAAAGGGGTCACTCAACCTCACGTTGCTACAGACCATGGCCTCCATGGTACAGCGACACGCCGCCCTTTATTCAATAGCCGATGCCTTTGGGGCCAATCTGGGAGTGTCCTTCCCACTGACACACGTTGGTTCAAGGACACAAGGATCTACCCATATTTTTTTTCAAGAAATCGAGGCACGTACAAAGATCTGACCTCTGGAGGCTATTAACTTCTTGGAATACATCATAGCGATTCCAGATTAAAATACACAACAGTAATTTCATCTCTCGTACTCTTTATTGGTGTTAGTTTCCTCCAGTTGTCTTACGGGACTCACATACCCAATAGGAAAGGAGAGACGATTAATTTTAATATTTCCTTTTTTTTTATTTTTATGTTTTATTTATTACTTGTGGTATTCCAGGATTCGAACTCATAAACTTTGGATTTGTATAAAAGTGCGTATATAAGTATGCGTCTTAGCCCGCTTTGAAAATAGTTATGAAAGAAATAGATAAATTTTTTATTTTCAGATATCTTAAACAGTTATTTAAGGAGAAACAGAAATGAAGTTCGTATTTAGGACCCAGAATAACCCTGTAATGCGGATATTTATGGCATTCAAAAATAAAACTTTTTTTCCTTAAATTTTCATCAAGTCCTTAGTTTTTTACGAAAATCACTAAAAAATTGATAATTATGGATTTTGACGAATGAGGTATCAAATGAAAGGTTATTTGATGGAGGCGTCGGGAATAATAGTCATATCCTCCCGAAAGATCAATGGAAAAAGTTATGGAAGAAATAGATAGATTTGTATTTGCAGGTATCTCAAACATTTATTTAAGGAGAAACAGATTTGTGATTCGTAATTAGGAGGATCCCGAATAACCCTCCAATACGAATTTTCATGGCATACGAAAAATAAAACGTTTTTTCCTCAAATTTTTAGCGCCCACAAAATTATATCTATTAAATATTTATCACGAATAAACTTGATTAGAAACTTGATCTGTAAAGTAGCCAAATAATTAAAACATTGATTTTTGTTTGCAATAATTTATCTTCCTTGTTAGTATGTGAAAGTCAGATGAGGCGCAAACCGCAAAACTACAGTTTTTTTCCAATTCAGGTCTATTACGGCGTTGGTTGATATGACGCTGCTTACACCTATGAACTTAAAAATAATCTAGATATTTTCACCAATGTATGAAAACAAGAGGAATATTAATAATTGTGGGTTAATGGTTGACTGTCGTGAATAATGAATAGAAGGATGGTTGGGATGATCAGTCAGAAATAAGAAGGCAAAAATAAAGAATAATATTTATTTTAACATTTGTCGTTGTTTCGACCTCAAGTTCAGGGCTTCATCAGGGCTAAGAAAAGAACCAGATAACAAGGTATGAGAAACATAAATGATGTAGGTAAAAAAAATTAAAGTAAAATGAAGTGGGCAGAATAATGACAATAATAAGAACTAAAAGATAAATAATAATAACCGTTACAAAATGTGGAATGATAAAGTAAACATAACCAAAAAGGTGATATAAGTATTAAAATGGTATTCTTAGAATAAAATGTAAAACAGAAAAAAGGAATATGAAATTATATAAGAAATGAAACTAATAGTAAAATTAAGATATTTCAAATAGAATAGTTAGATAGACGATTGAGATATTGTAAAGTCTATCAAAATGTACTGACAACGTATAGAGTAATATTAATTTATTGATTACAATGCGGGCTTTTCAACAACTTACGGACCATTTCAGTCCGTACAAAAAAAAAAAAAAAAAAAAGAAAGAAAGCAATGCTTAATAATAAAGACTATAAAATATACGTATTAATGGTTTATCAATGAGGGAATATAGAATTGAGTTGTATTTTACACATCGGAGTGTATTCAACACTAACGCTCGACCCGGCACAGTGACATCCTGAACCTCTGCAGAGGAGCCCTCCACTCCAACCTCTTGTCAGGACATCCTGGCCTCAAGGAAGACAAGCCTGGTGTCCTGGTGTTGACAGGGTTACTCCAGGCTAAGGCGGGAGGCTGAGGGTGGTGGGAGAAGACATTGCATTATGGTTTGGGACAAAGGACCAATCTCCTCCCCTCGCCTCTTGTCCCTTGCTAAATGATTGTCTTCAGTTTTTTATTTAATTCCGAGCCTTCTCGGGAGAGTGGTCGCGAGAATTCCAAGGAGACTCCCCTATGCAGTTTATTGACAGCTCAAAATAAAGTGCTTTGGTGAATACTACAGACAGGTATTAGCATAAGCTTTCGTGTTTATAATTCTTTCATCTCATTGATCTTCTTCGATATTAAATTGTTATAAAATTTTATATATTTTAAACTACATCCGAAATGAAAAATATAAAATTATGTCCCTGGATTTTGCAGCGATTTTTCCGTATATCATAAGCGATGGAAATGTTCAGCATTTCATCCTCTTTCTAATGAACCATTATTCAAAATTGTACTTGACGTGATGCTGTATTAGAGAGGCAAAAGGAGAAAATATAGTGTCGAAAACCAAATAATGACCAATCGCCATACTTTTTTTAACGCCTCTTGACTCTTTTCACTTCTCGCAGCATCGGGGCTGTTCCAGGCGATAAGCTGTGATCGTTGGTTTCTCTTCTTATATTGATAATATCCAGAGAGCACTTAGTTTATAATAATCGGACGCCATGTTGTTGTTTTTTTACGGAATAGAGTTATTAAGGCCTGTACCCAACCCCCAACCTGGAGGACCAAGGAGCTATGGTGATTAGACATAAGGTTCGCTCACCTTTCTCTCAATCTCAGGGTGGGCACGTTACCGTCCCCAAGCGGGAATCGAACCCGCGCCGTAGTGGTCCAAATAATGGAGTAGGGATTGCACTTATTTATTTATTAATAATTTTTTATCTTTTTTTTTTTTTTATTAAATCCTGCAAATGGGATTTAAACTCGTAGCATAAAATTAACTCACTCGCCCCCACGATTTCCATACTAAACTAAAGATTGTCATATTAGATATGACGAATCATACTAAAATGATGACAACATACGATCACCGCATATTTCAGTTATCATAAAACTATTGTTTCATTTTTAGAGTAGACTGACTTAGTATGATCAATCGGCGTTTACCAGAGTAATTTACAAACAGTTATAATAGTATCCATTGTAAATGTTTTTACTTTTTGAATATAGAACAAAAAATATTTATATTTCATATTATTATATCCACCTTATTGATATTTTTAGTTCTATCATGTGGTCTTCTGCACACGCCCTAGTTTTTTTTTTTCTAAATTTCTTCTAAATTACATAACTTCTGGACAGACCTCATTCATCCGGTAGAACGATGACAAAACTGCGAATCATAATTTTTATTATCATAGTTTTTTACCAATATTTTGATTTTTATAGCCTTAAAAAAAAATGAGATAAGTATCCCATGGCAACGATAACACCTATCGTAGGCGCTTTCGGCAACATTTAGGATTCATCTAAAAAATAATACGTTTTAAAACTAGTTCCTTCGGTACTAGGCCTTGATGCACGCGTGAATATCTTTAAGACAAAATTTATCACATCTCGATTCTTGGCCTTTTAAATTAGTGTTTTGAAACCATCCAATTTTTTCAATAACTCTTATTTAATTTGTTGTAGGAGCTTTATTGTCTTAATTAAAATTCGACGAAATAGCCGATATTGAAATTCCCTTTCATTCGATCAAAACCCTGCTGAGAGCTGGAGGAAGGATCTATAGTAAAGTATTGTATAATATATGACGTAGATGAAACATTTTTCCTAGATTTTGCAGTCTTGTAGTAGTTCCATATATACATATATATATATATATATATATATGTATACTTTTGATAACTAGGAGGAGAAGTGCTTAGGATACAGATAACACTAAGTACCCACTAAGGGTACCTACAGGTAACTACAGTCCTCCCCCCCCCCACCTCATAGGCAGTTAATACTCATTACCAAAGAGTACCCCCTTCCTTCCCCCTCCAGGGCTCTGCGGTACCTAATGCAGAATTACTGTCTCCAGCAGGCACCTCGCTGCTGAACATGGTCCTTCCTTCCCTCGGAGCTAATCCTCTACTCAGAGGATCGTCCATGATGGACGATGAGGCGCCGAAACGAGAAGAACAGCTTCTAGGAGTTTGTACATTATTAAGTTCAATTTTACTATCAACATCGATTAAAGAATCTAGATGGATAGGAAATAACTTTATTCTGGGACACAGTCCCTTGAGAATAACAAAACAGAACAAAATTAAAAGATTACATCTGGCCAAAATAGAATCAATAGTAAAAAAAAAATAATAATAATAACAATAGACTAGTATACACTTTTAAGAAATCGATAAAGAATTAAAAATTAAAAATATATTAAATTGTCCATTAAAATAAGCTTTGTGTTTCTGTTGAGAAAACAGAAAGCTAAACCTGACAATATAAAGTGCCTGATTAGTATATAAATATTAATTATTTATTTTAAAAAATATCATTTAAATGTTGATCAATGTATAAATACTAATCTACTTTTTTGCTCTATCAAATAATTCGCATAGGTTATTCCTCAATTAACAAATGACAATATAATATAGATAAGTCAGTTAATGTAATTTACTATGAGATGGAGGAATTGCTTTTCTTTTCCTCGAACGAATCGCATTCGTTGATTCATAATAATAAACTAAAACATATGTTCAAATCTCTATAGGCTTTATCTTTATTATTAGCTAACGATTTCGACATTTTTTTTTTCTTTGTACCGAAGTTAGCAACCATTTAAATGATCACCATAAATAATGTTTTCAGTCATGCTAAAATAAAAGTTTCTTTTTCTTGGGTGATAAATATTCAGGACGCACTTTATAAAAAAAAAAAATTAATTTTTGTGTTCAAGTTTTGTGTCAGGGTAATCAAGTACTGACCTCGGGTCAGTACTTGAACACCCTCAGTGCTCAAACCACGCCCTGAAGATGACCCACATGTTTGGGTGAAACGTTGGCATAAATAAAAAATATATATATTTTTTTTAAAAACTTCGTCCTGAATATTTATCACACATGATATGTAGAACAGTCGACTAACTTACTTCAATATTTCTTTTTCTTCTTAACTTTATTCTCTGAAATTTTAATAGGATGTGGCTATTTCCCACATCTGAAGGAGAGATAAACAAAAACGGAAAAAAAGAAAATGAAATGGTATACAGTAGATATTTTAGTTTGTATGTGGCTATGAATCCATGGCATCCGTGACATTAAGATGTACTGCTGTACCAAAACGTTACATTTCATGGCTTTAAAGGAGATAAAAACCAAGACTGCCAGTATTTGAAAGATAATTTATCCCGTATCAATCCGCCTCACGCATGCGCAAACTTAATGTACTTAACTAAGGCTATACATTTCAAAAACGGCTGGTCTGATTTGGCTCGAGGTTATTTTTCATTTTAGAACACCATCTTTTTGAAACAGAAAAAGTATCTGTTATATATAAGTAACAGCAATTATTATGTTATTTACTATCTTATCCTCTTTGCGATATCGTTTACTATGAATTTAAGAGATATTGCATTTACGGTAATCCAAATGTCTTAATGAATTTAAAAAAAAAGAGTTTAAAACATCTTAAATAAAAGATTCGTTTTTAGCAAGTTTCAGTATAATCTGTTAACAGGTTTTTATATGATAGAAGAATAACAAAATTGATCCAAATATAACTTATACTATTCCTATTTAAAAATAACTAACGTACCTAAAGTAAAAAAACACCATAACTGAAGTCGAACCAAGAGTTGGGGATTAATGTTCTAATGGTCTATTTTCTTAAACATGCACAAAATTGTTTTCTTGACAAGCCTATATCTCAAAATATTCGCTATATAAATTTATAAATTATATTGATCTAGAAATATGGGTAATTATGTAGCCGATATAGGTGACCCTACATGCCAAACCTTTTCTTATAATTTGTTATTTCATTTGAAATGTCCATCAATATTATTTCAGAAATTCAAGGTGGAATTATTGGACTTTTATGGTTTACTTTATGTATATATATATATTTTGTATGTATGTGTGTATGTTTATGTTTACAGATTATAATGAGCCGCTATTAATCCTCTCTCTTTTTTTTTTTACTGTCATAAAATATAATCGTGGAAACACACAATTTTGGAATGATCTTTTTTTTCTTTTCTTTTTTTTTTCATTCTAAGAAATATTATCAATGGCAGGAAAAATTGATTTGTCATTTTTGCCCAGAAGTGAAACCATCACATCCACATCATTTTGCGCTGGTATTGACATCAAAAAGTTTTAAAAAAACAGTCTCCATTTGTTAATCGGAAGGGAACTATACTCTTACACGATAAGGCCAGACCTCATGTTCCACGATAGACTGTGAAGAAACTAAACGATTTTTTTTACGAAGTCTCACTCCTATCTTATTCGCTGGACTTACCTCCAAAAGATTTGCATTTGTTCATAAATGTGGGCAACTTGCTTAGATGTAAAACTTTTGAAAAATTTCTTTCTAACTGATTTTGAAACAAGCCAATAGGATTTTACTTTTCGTATGTCCTCAATGCTCCTTACTTTGTTACAAATAAAATTATCCATAATGACCTTAATGTTCCTTATGTTGCAGATCTGGCCCAATCCAGATATCTGTCCTTCATAATAAACTTCATAACCATCCAACCTCTTGTCTCTAACCTTGCTTCCTATTCGATCCTGATAACCTCCGAGGCGTCTGAAAAGAAGATGGCCACGTGATCTTCTAATATAGACATATTATTAGAGTGCTACCAATGGGTAGTTTCTCAACATGTGTTCCATGTCTTTATACCAATGTGCAAATTTACTAGATGTATTTTTTTGTATACAGTTGTAAATATCATTTAAAATAAATAAATAAAATAAATAACTTTTCGTATATTATTCCGCTAAAATTACCGTTTTTACTTACAGATAAAAGTTGTGGAATGGCCGTTATGGCATTTTTCAAATTCTTTTCCCTGGCGTTGCTCAACTCGCTCTCGACTTATTGGAGCCCCCCTCACTCATTGGAGCCCCCCCTCACTCATTTATGATGCTGAGACGAGGGGGAGGGGGGGATATTGCGAGCTAGAGATACAGCTCGAGAGCCGACAGCGCGGGGGCAAATTAGTTTCGTTTAGCTCTATCCTTCCCGCTCTGATTTATGCCTCCTCTCCGTTCTCCGGTTTTTATTATTTCTTTCACAGCCCTTTCCAGGCTTGTTTATTTCAGTTTAACTTTTCTTTTATATTCTTCAAAACAATTAAAAAATTTCAACTCAACCGTAGGTTTAAATAAACATAATTTATATATTTTTATTCAAAAAACTTTTTGATTACAAAAAATATTTGTTTTAAACGGGGAAAGAAACTTTTTTAATAACTCCTATTTCATCCTTTTAGTATAAAAAATTGTTGGAATAAAACTCCTATCGGACCGTTGTTGAAATAAAATTCTAGAGTTATGGTAAAACTTCCACTTTTTTCTTATTTAACTTCTAAACTACTGAAAATACTAGACTCCTTTTTTTCAAAATCAAAATTGAAAATCAGTCAAAAACTAAATACGTACACTTACCTACTCAAACCCATATGGACATACGTCTCCCAAATTTACAGTTCTGCAAAAAAGACTCACAAAAACTACAATCATTTCAGTCCAAAATTTTAAGACTAATAACAGCAGCTCCGTGGTACGTTAACAACAAAACTTAAATAATGACTTAGAACAACCAACACATACGTACTCTCTACTCCCGATTTCATCTTAAAGTACATGCACACCACAAGGGACTTATCAACGACCTGGCCACACCTGACATGCCCATCAGGAGACAACTAAAGAGGAGCTGGATGAGAGATCTCCTTTCCTAAATTATGAAGTAGACCAAGACCAGGAAGAGGTACCGCTGGGTACTAATCTTCCTCATCCCTTAAATACCGATTTTCTATACAATGAGATCACATCTGCTTATAGAAGTATGAAGAGAAAAAAAAAAAAGTTCTCGAAAGACAGTTAGGTCATTAAAAAAATAACTCCCAAATGGGCTTACATTAAAGTTATAATTTATCCGAAACTAATTACTTGATTCTATTGTTTGGTTACTTTGAGTAGCTAAAAATATAAATATTTTTTAATATTCTAGGATAAAACCCCCAGTTGCCGTCCGCCACTCATAATATAATGTATAAACGCCTAATGTAAACATATCAATAGAGTACTACTATTGGGTAGTTACTCAGCAAGTGTTTTTCATGTCATTACATACATTATGTTCTAATTTACTAGATGTATTTATTTAATACAGTGGTAAATGTCTTTAAGAAATAAAAAAAATATATTTTTGGTGTTTTAGTGAAAAGTAAATTAGTTCATATTTTCTGTTGCAGTTTAATTGTCTAAACCATATGGTTTTAAAAGAACATATGTTTATTATTCGTTAGTATGTAAACAAGTTGTTAGTTGAGTTAATAAATGAATTAAAACATTTATTTTGATTTATATAATAAGAATATAATATACCCTATATGGGCGAAATCAGTAGAACTTTTAAATAAAAGTTTTTTTTTTAAATAAAATGTCAGTAAAACCTTTACTTGAATACTTTGAAGGGAAAAAGTCCCGAAATAATACAAAAAAAAATAAATAACGATTCCAGTCTTACCGAAACTGATTAAAAATAAAGTTTCATTTAAAGTCTTGGTTTTACACACTTTATGCTACCTTCCAAGTTTTTTATTGATTTATTTTATTAGATAAACTTTGAAACAGACCAAGTTTCATCGAAACGGACAATTTGAAAGCGATAAAGGTTTTGGTGAGTGTAAATGATAGATAGAAATTTATTCGTTTTGGAGGGGTTCCCTATACAAATAGAGCCTAGCTTGGAAATTGTAGAATAATATGGTTTTACAAGTTATATACATATCAATTGAAAAAAAAATAAAATTTACAATATTTTACGTGTAGAATGGGTTTTACAAAACATGAATAACAATAGAAATTAAAAACAAAAAACGATTACTGCATAATAATAGTTATATCTGTAAATGATAACACACATTATTACTAGCGTAATAAAAACAATATTATTGGAGTGGTATCTTCCACCCGTACTCGAACTCAGTTATTCTGTATCGCACATGTCTTTCGAGACTAATCCCTTGATAACAAAATGGAGGTGTCACCCGTTGTGGATGTGAATGTGATTGGATGGCACCATAACCCCCTCCATCCCCTCCCACCGCTGTACGATACCTTCAGGTCCGTTGTAAACCTCATTTTGCTTATTACTACAAGATAATTGGTCGGGGAAGCACTTGTAAGGTTGATTAATGACCGTTGCTGACGAAATTAATGATGATGCCCAAGTTTTCGTGTCAGCTGATAATTGATGAGTTTCGTCTTTTAGCAAAACTTTTTACACCGGATTTTTTATAATCGATGGAACAACTCGTGTTTAGAGTGAACACAAGTAATATATTTTATTAAATATATTAACTTCTAATGCCTGAGTATTATATACCGCTTAAAACTTATACACATAAATGTAAAAGAAATAAACAATTCACTCACTGGATCTCAAAAATAGTTATACTTACAAAATTGGAGATTTGTTATGAGGCCGAGTTTAAAAAAAAAATCTAGCCCAGAATGGTTTAAATAAATATTTTTAATTTTTAAAAACACGTGGGTAACATCCGTTATAAATACGTCTTTATGTAAATATCCGTATTGTTCTAGAGAGAGGGCAGGGTAGAAATAAAAAAGATTTTACGTGGTCTAAGATCTTTCTCAATGAATAGCCTATTTGACGGAGAAATTGTTTTCTAATCCACATGTTGTAATCTTGAAAAAATTGACTGATAATCGTACACTCTGATTTTCTAAATTAAAATTGATCCTCAGATAAAAAAGTAATTACATGTAAATACCTACTTAAATAAGCATACCTATTTAAATCGATATGGACATAAACATTAGAGATTTACGGTTCAGCAAAAAAAACGCATTTACAAAAACTACAATCATTTCAATCCAAAATTATGAGACTAATAAATCTTCCTGAGACTAAAAAAACTCCCTGTTACGTATAGAATAAAACTTTACATAACCGCTTACGGCAACCAACTATCGGCTAACACATACATACTCTTCAATTCCGATTTCTTACTAAACTACACGGACACAACGGACAATAAACGTCATGGCCTCGGCTGACATGCCCATCAGGAGGCGACTGAAGAGGAGCTAGATGAGAGATCTCCTTTCGTGAATTAAGTAAACCAACTCCAGGAAGAGGTACTGCTGGGTACTATTATTCCTCATTCCTAAAATGCCATTTTTTTTTTCAAACAATTACAACAAATCAGCTTATTGTAAGTCTCATTATTGGAGCGGATTAAGATTTGAAGAAGGAAAATGAAACCTACTAAACGTGCAAATTTTTCAGCTTGATACATTAATATAGCGATTATTAACGGCGCTTCGGAAACGAAAATATCGGCAGGAAGACAGTAAAAATATATATATTTATTTTTATTTTTCATCAGCCGTGGGTCGAACTTGGGGTAAGGAGATCCTCCCAGCCTCTATAAAGTTGGGACTCTTAATTAAATAATTAATTAAGGGGAAATCTGGCGGTTGAGCGTGATCCTGTTGTTTTTTTTTACTTTGTACTTTGACTTAATGCCGCTACCAGCTTCTCTTTGATCAGAAATTGTTAGTTAAATTGTTCCCTCCGACACGTGCAATGTTTTATAATAGTCCGCTCTGACCGCAAAGTCCACGTTCTTCTATAGACAGCGAGGTTACGTATTCGAACATCAGGCAATATTAAGCAGCCACAGCCATTATCAGTACACACACCAGGCACAAACAGGTTAGTAGAGGGGATGAAGATATAAAGGCCTTCATCCCGCCTGCAAGAGATAGCTTCCCTTCCACTGCATACTTAATTGCTCTTTCCTTTTTCCTTTTTGGGGGATATTAAGCATGCGGATATTAAATTCCCTGACCGGATATCCTCCTGACCACCGCGTACATCTTCCTCGCTATGGCCATGTATAATGGATGTTATCTCCCTAACTGCCTTTGAGGCAGGGTCATTCATGGAATTCCTAATACTAATAAAGACCATATTTACCAAATATCCATTTCATTCATAAGAACGAAACAGCTTATTTATTGTATATTGACTGGTAATTACTACTTTTCATTTTATGAATGAAAAAAAACGAATTTTTTTTTAAGTCAATAATCCTTAAAATGGGCGAGTATCTAAACTCAGCGCTAACTCCATCAATGGAATCCTTCTATCTATTGAATCTAGCCCCAATGGGTAGCGAGTTATGCTGAACGATTTGCTGCATTTCAGCTGAAGGTTAACAATTCTGAAAGGTTACTAGAGACTTGAAAATTTTTTAAAAAAGGTATACATAAATGATAATGTAAAGTGAATATATCAGAAATATGTAAAGTAAATGGAGTAATAATAAAAGTGATGTTGCAATCCTAAACCGATGGGACTACTAATTCATTCGATGAATAAAGGAACGAGTAGAATCCCATCGGTCCGTTTAGGAAACTGTCATGATTGATTTGTGGAACATTGGTATGAGTATGATACAATACCAATATCTGGCAGATGTGATGTCATTATCAGGAGTACAAAGTTGAAGATCCCTGATCAGTGGTGTACCCAGGATTTAATGTTCTGGAAGGCTTTCAGCCCGAAAGCATTTTTTTATTTATATATATATAAAACCATGTTTATTTTTAAAGAAAAATAAAGAAACCCTTTATGAATTATGTTTAAGTGCTTCCTGAACCAACTCTATTAAAAATTATATTACAATAAGATTAATGTTTTAAAAATGATTATTTAGTATTTTTTTCATAAAGCATTGTCATATTTAGTAGCTACTAGCTGATGTACCCATCGTTGACGGGTGTATAGTTAAAATTTGAGAACCATTTTTGAGATGGATATTGTAATATGGGGGAGGGGATAATTTCATAACATTGGGTGAGGGGGGAGAGATAATTTTAATTTTTAGAAGATTTTCTTCCAATTTCCGGCTTACCTATTAGGTTAATCATAAAAATGTATTTGTTAGGCTCGGAAAGTTGAATAGAATAACACCTTCAACGGGATGATCGGACAAAGTTGAAAAATGAGTGTTTTAAGCTGCAACGCGTTACAGATATTTGGTATTTCGGATTTTTCCCGTTAAGTTGTGATTATTTTCTCCATCAGTTGAGTAGTACAACATTTAAATATGGCTCGCGGTAGAGTAGGTAGGGATGAGAATCGAAGTAACTGCCTAACCGGGATCTCTAGACAAATTACCCAAGAATTCATAACTCTGGTTCTATTCAATGTTTTGTTTTCATTTAAAGCCTATGGTTTAAGCCATTGCTAAGATTACCCCTGACAAAATATCGTTGTAATGCGGACATTCAGACAGACAAAAACATTTTTAAAATTGGATTTGATGTCTGCAATGTATGAAACGGAAAAATATCATAATAAAACGGGTTGATTCTATTCCATGTACAGACAAAATCTTTATTTTATTTATATAGATAACATATACGCATTTATGATTTATAAATACGAAATATCATGATTATTTAATTATTTAACTTATATCACTCATAGTAACAAATATGGAAAAATATGGAAATTGTTTCCATTTTGGGGGATCTTCGCCCCCAAAGCCGCCCCCCCCCCTTCGTCGATCCACTAATACCGCTGAGTTAGACCTAATGAGATTTTCATCGAAAGCTATTGCCATCTGGAGGACCTCTATGGTTAATTGTTATAGAAGTGTGTTATATTATATAATATATATATGTATTATTTGTATATGTTATATATTATTATGTATTATTTGCCTATGCTATGTATTATTATTTATTATTTGCTGGCAGGGGGAGGTTTGCGCCACGGCCCTCACGGATATAATCCACGCGGTTCTCAACGGAGCTGACGGCTGCCTCTTCACCTTCGGCCACTCCAGGCTAGGTCAGTTATTATAGTTACTATTATGTATTATATATCATTATATCAAATTATATGTCTGTATACTGTGTAGTCTATATTAGCTTGCAAGGGAAAGCTCAGGCCATATGGAGTATCATGATCCAGGAAGAATGTCCGAATCTATTTGATTGTACTTAAGGGTACGTGAGGAGCTGCTTTTGAAAGCTTGTTTTTATCCTTCTTTGGGTCAAAAAAATAGTCTTCGTCATGATCTGTATAAGCTTGTTGCGATATCTCTGGCGTTTTAAATTTGTTATTGGTGTGAATATCAAAATTTACAGTAGGTAGGTGACCCACCTGTTATGAGCAGTTTGGATTTTGAATATAAATAATAAACTTCCTTATTGATTCAAAGGTTCTAGTTTTTTTCTAGATTGAAGAATAATGCCTTCTATTGACAACTGTTTGAACAAAGCTATCATTGTTGTTTCCATTGTGCGCTTGATTTCAGTCTGTTTTATACGTTCTTACTAACAGTTTAGCTAATGGAATAAAGTTGAACATTTATCATATTATGTCTTTATAGTTAAATAAAAATTTAGAATTTTTCTGAGGTATGTCCAATATTGGTACCGACCCCCTGTTCATTACTAAAACAATTGAATTTCGGAATGTCCATCACTAGTGCAAAAAGATGTTTTTGTTTTTAAATGGATATTATAACTGCATAACTCAATATTTATTCAAATTTAAAGTGTTAAATTGGAAAAGGAGATCCTAGAGACTCTACATATCTAACATCTATTCGAGAGGCTGAATTTTTTTTTCAATACGGGAATTGCTATGAAAGAAAAATAAAGCAGCTATTTAACTACATAAAATAAACATATTTAATTGGTCCTTTAAAACTTGAAAAATAACCGTATACGGTAAAAATAATGCTTATAGGGCTAATTTTTTTTTTTTTTTTTTTTTTTGACACTGCACATTTAATAGCTCTCGAATACATGCGTTATTTTTTTTTTAAAACTGTCCACATTTTGATAGATCAAGTATTTAGATGAAAAATAATTATTTTTTCGTTATAGGGAGGACTTGGGCCCGAAAGCCTTCCCGTGGGCCGGCCAATGTTCACATGAAAATCTCGTAGTTATGTTTTGTTACTTACAGCTCCGGCGGATTGTTATACCTCTGCCAGGTGTGTTACTTACGATTTTGATGCTCTACAGACTTTGATTCTATGGATTTTACCTCTTAGGGAGCTCATTTCGAAGTTACAGGACAATTTATTGAGTTAGACAAATTTTGTAAAAATCAACGTTGGTTGACCGTCGGTTTACACCTTACCACGCAACCAAATTATAGAGTTTATGTACCCGTTCGACGCACAATTTAACGTTCTTTAATATATTAAAGAGCACGTTTCTCGCTTTGATGTACCGTTTAGGAGTTATAGGTAAAAAAATAAAAACATATCGAAAAAAATCTGAGGTTTTTTATATTTCTAAACCCATATATCATCATCATCATCATATGTGGCACGACATCCCGTTACCGAGACTGGGCCTCCTCCAAGAGCCTCCGCCAGTTGGCTCTGTCTTCTGCGTCAGCTCTCCAGTTCCGCACACCAAGCAAGGTTCTCGCATCATAGGCCACGTTGTCCAGCCATCTCGTCCTCGGCCTTCCTAACCGTCTTACGAGGTGCAGCTCCTCCATCATTATTTTCTTTGGGATCTCAACGGTGCTCATTCTGGCCACATGCCCTGCCCACCTTAGTCTGGCCAGTTTAATATACGTGACTACGTCGATGTCTTCATAGAGAGAACTGAGCTCCCTATTTTTTCTTTTCCTCCAGACATCACCCTCCTTTACTGGACCATAAATCCTTCTGAGGACTCCTCGTTCAAACACACTCAGCTTCATCTCATCCCTTTTAGTCATCGTCCAAGCCTCTGAGCCATATGTCAAAACAGGCCGTACAAGAGTCTTGTATATGATCAGCTTGGTCTTCTTTGAGAGGTAGCTACTTCTTAAGTGTCGGCCAAGTCCAAAGACACATCTATTGGCAGCCGTGATCCTTCTTTGTATTTCTTGAGCCATGTCATTTTTGCTATTAATTTCAGACCCAAGGTATACAAAACTTTTCACTCTCTCAAACTTAAAAGAACCTACCTCAAATGGAGAGTTCAGATTCACCTCACCACCAACTCTCATATACTTAGTTTTCCTCTCGTTGACTTCTAGATCAAGTGGTCTTGCAGTTGCTTCAAGGCCTATAAACGCTTCTCTGAGAGCCTGTTCAGACCTACCTATTATGTCAATATCATCAGCAAAACCCATATATACAAGTTTTAAAAAAGAAAACATTTCTCACATTTTTCGCAATGAATTTCCCGTTTCGATCCTCAAATTACTGGCCTAATAATCTTTAAATCAGCCGCCATTATTGAAAGCTGCGGCTATGGAACGGCAGATAAAGTTCTTTTTACTCAGAATAACATACACTTTCGTAATTTGCGATCACACCTTCGCCTGCGATGAGGTCGATTTTTTGGCCCTGGCTCGAAGGCTATTAGTAGCGAGGTAAATGACAGAGGAACCTGTCAATAGAGCACACACCGATCGTCAAAGGTGAGAACTGTAATGGTTCCGTTGATAGTGGAGAGGCCCGATTGGATGGTTCGCTGGAGTTCGAGCAACATCGACAAAATGACCATTGGGCCATTTTATCATCCTGTTAATTACAAAAAAAAAAAATGCTCGTAATATAATGATATTAAATTAGTTGGCCCGTGCGAATAATTCCCATATAATATTGGTCAGTGAACAATTGACAATGTAATATAGAAATAGATTAGCAAAGATAGAGAGTATAGAGTGATAGAGATTTGTGCAATGTATTATCAGACAGAGGAAATAATTTTATTTTTCTCAGTTAAATTATATTATTTTATTCTTGATAATATACAAACCTATGATTATATTACAATACACTGTATCTTTGCTAACAGAAATATTGGATTGTCCGGGAACTGATGAAGAATTTTAATTTAAAAAGAAAAATTTACAACTGTTTTATTTAATCGAATAAGTCTTCACTACTGTCAATACATTTCTGCCAACTCGTTGGCAATTTTTCCATTCCCTTTGAATAGAATTTCCCATCTTTAAAATTGATAAACTCCAAATAATTCTCTTGTCCATTAATTTATTTGTCAAGTATGTAGTGGTCCAGGTATCTACAAAATCCGTAGGCGAGAGGTCCGGGAAATAAGGCGGATGTGGCAGTTTCATATCCAGGTTCCAATAGATTTTGTGACGCCACACGTGATATGTGACCGGGCAACAAATGGCCCCTGTTCGGGTTAGGGGTCAAAATATAACTAACCGTTATAACTGATCCCTAGGTTCGAACTAGAATAACGTTGAGTACTCTATTTTTGAAATAAACTTGGTTTTATTTCACGAAAACTTTAAACAGAGATTTTAAACCTTTTTTGACTTTTACACTTTTTATAACAATAATTACTCACATATGCATATTTTAACAACATGTGAAATTATTAGATATTTATAAAAATAAATATCATACGTGATCCATTCCCCAAGAGGCCCCTTCTGATTGGCCTAAGATGGCGTCATTCATTATTCCTGATGAACTGCATTAATTTGGTTACAATACGATTCGGTATTGATGGTTTCTCCAGGATTTATGGAGCTGTAGTATATCAAACTAATTGAATCCCACCAAACAGTAATCATCACTTTTGTTGATGAGTTGGGGGCTTTGGAAAATGTTCTCCTTGGTCGAGTCACTGTCCAAAACGTCTACTGTTATCGTGAAGGGTCCACTTTTCATCATAAGTGACAATTCTGGACAGAAAAGGGTCGTTTTTGTTTCGATAAAGAAGTTTAGCTCAAACTTGATAATGCTGGTTTTTTGGGAGTCGTTTAATGTGTGTGGAACAAAACTTTCTAGCTATTGTATCTTTACAATCGTTTTGAGGTGGTCACCGACGGTCGATTTGCTCAGCTTATGTTTTTCTGCAATTTCCGAAACAGTTTTTCAGGGGGTTTTCTCCACCAAACTCCTTCCACTACTTCTTAGTCTTCAGGGCTGAAGTCTCTCTCCCGAATAATTGTTGGCATTCATACAAATGAATAATCCAGTAAACGTAAACAGTTTGTTATATAGAGGGGTATTTTAAAGAAAACTCAAAATTCTGCATTATTTTCCGGGCAACCCAATATATACTTGTTGAGTTGTTAGCAAATAAAGTTTCTTTTTTTTCATAATTTCAAGAAGATGTGACTATTTTTCCCACACCTGTGACACCTGAAGGAGAAGATCTTGAATATGAGTGGTCAATCATTGGATTTGAGGACGAATTGACGAAGATATGGCGTAACGACAAACAAACACCTTTGAGAAATCTATATATATATATATATATATATATATATATATATATATATATATATATATATATATATATATATATATATATATATATATATATGTATATATAAATGAATGTATATAGATAAATGTCTGTCTGTCCGTCTGTTTGTCCTTAGTGCATTACTAAACCATTCATCCGATCGCCATAAACTTTGTGAAGTTGTTCCGTACACTACTGGGAAGGTTTCTGGCATATTACTTCTGTCTTAAGATAATTTATGTATGTAAAAAAAATAAAAATGTAAATGTTTTTTCTGTTCAAATCCGCAAAAAAAATGTGTCGCTATAAGCTGTAGCGCCTAAACGGCTTTACCGATTTTAACGAAACTTGGCTAAAGTCTTCCCCCTGAAACCCTTTTAATTTATGTGTATAACATACTTTCCCGAAAACAAGCCGAAAAATTTATGATGAATTCAATATTTTATTTGACGATAACAAAAAAAGTACTGAATTTTTGACATTTATTTGAAAGATTCTTGATTTGTCGACAAAATAAAAAAACACCGTAATCGGACGGTTCGTTGCAGAGTTAAAGAGTTTTAAACATTTACTGCTTTCTCTTCAGAAAACGCCATTTCCTTTTGCTTCCTCACTACCGAAGGTAGACAAGCATTTTTTTTTTTTTTTTATTCATTAATCGAAAAAATTTTAATTACTACAGTAATTGAAATTATCATTTGAAGAAGTTATATGATTC